TCGCAGGTCTCTAGGTCTGCTTCCAGGAATAGACTTTTTACCGGTGATTCCGGATATCCAGATATCCGTTTTATAGCCACCCGGTAGCAGTATCGATATGGTGATGGCGTGTTTCCTCTATGCTCATCATTGCATCAAATTTAGAAAAATTCGCGAATCTCTAGGTCTACTTTCAGGGATTAATCATTTTCCGGGTGCTTCCGGATATCCAGTTGACCATTTTCTGGCCACCTGATAGCAGAATCGATATGGTGATGGCATATTTCCTCTTTGTTCATGATTTTATGCAACTTAACAAAAAATCGCTGATTTCTAGGTCTAATTTCAGGAATTGACCTTTTCCTGGTGAATGTGAAGTTCCGCAGAGCCACCTCTCACGGGTTTTCCCGTCCCGACTGGTCAACCATAGGTTCAATCGGATCTATGTATGTTCCGTTCGAAAGTAGATAATCATACCTTTAAAATAGAGGCTCAATCTTAAAATTTGGTAATCAAATTGCGTGATTTTCCGTTTAGGATGGCCAACCACAGGACCAATCAGGATTATACCTATTCCAAATGATTCAATTTTTTTTTATTAATTGATTTATTTGTACAGGCTCAATCGAATAAACTTTACAGAGCCATGTTATCATTTTCGTTATACATACATACTTAAACCTAATCATTAATCTAGAGTTACAGGGATTGAACCGAATACTCGCGGTCGTCTTGAGGTTAGTGGAGATTTACAATTTTCTGGATAGGGAGAGGGACGAGGAGTGTGCGCACCGCCGAGCACTGGTCACATACCTTGCGCCGTGCCGTACCTGTGGAGCGCAATGAACGTTGCGCCTAAACGTCAATGATGGAACGGGTGGAAGCAAAGCGAATGAGAGTGTGAGAGAGTAACATAAATAAAAACCAACAGTGACTAGCAAATCTATTGTAAGCAGTGTAATTAAATTAATCAAATATTTGGAATAGTTTTTGAGTTCGTCGTTCGAGGGATAGTTTGATCCGTGGTGCAAATATTTGTCTTGCTAAATAAACATTCGGATGTAAGTAAAACAAATTCATCAATAGGAAATAAATAAACATTTAGGTTTATTTCGTAGTGGACCGTGGAAAGATTATACTGCGGTGAACGTAACCTGCAAAGATAGAAGTGAAATCAGGAAACAATAAATGTAAGGTGAATTTAATTATAAAAATGAACTAAAACTAATAACAATAAATTTAGTTTCAAGCTGCTGTAAGATACAACACTGCTGTGGAAATTTGTTTCGAAAATTGGTCCGAACCCAGTGCGAACATTCTTGAAAATTTATTATGCCGGGACCGATACCAGATCTTGATAAGACGGGTTACAGTTGCGCGGGATGCCAACTACCGGATAGTACCGAGGACGAAATGGTGTTTTGCGACCACTGCCAAAGATGGTACCATTTCGGGTGTGCGGGCGTGACTGACGAAGTGAAGGATGTCTCCTGGTGCTGTAAAGGGTGTATTGGATAAGCTGCGGATAATTCGGGTCCACCTGCGCTGGAAGAGGAGTTGGCTAAACTCGAAAAGGAGATGGAGGAGCAAAGGCAGGCTTTGGAGATCGAAAAGATCCTGGGAAAAAAGCGACTCGAACACCAGCGCAAGATGTTTTTGTTGCGCCAGCAAGTAGAAAAAGAGAAACGTGATATGGAGTTAGCGTTCGAAAAGGAGCAATTGGAACAGGAGTTAGCGGAAGAAGAAGCTCACCGGAAGAAACGCGATCAAGTGCTGAAGAAGGTGCAGAACAAATTAAAGCTGTTGAAGATCGATCCGGCTGTTAAGATGGATGCAGGAAAAAGAAGCGGACAAGATGAAGGAGGACTCGCATCGAAGGACGAAGATGGGATGAAGAAGAAAACGATGAAGGAAAAGTCGAAGCAAGCTACAATGGAGAAGAAAAAGCCAGGAAGAGGAAAGTCCGAGAAGGAAAAGTCGGATAAACATCGCCTGGAGAAAGCTGATCCAAAGGATGCAAGCAAAGGAGATCCTCGAGGAGCGTACCGTAAATATTCTACTCTCAAAACGGCCGGTGGTGTACCTGGTTTGCTTTCCAGTTCCCACAAGAAGAAAACCCCACTTGGGCATCCAGATTTGCTTACGAAGAAAAAGAAGAGCAAGAAGCAGTCAATCAGTCAAGGAAAGCAGCGAAGAAGAAGATAGTTCCAGCGCTAGTGATGAAGAGGAGGAAATCGATTCGGAGAAGTCCGGATCAGAAGAAGACGAAAGGGATTCGGAAGAATCAGAAGCAGAGGAAGAAAGTTCGTCGGAAGAGGAGGAAGAAAGTTCGTCGGAAGAAGAGGTTGTAATCAAGAAGCGTCAGAAGAATCTGCATCGTCAACCATCAAAGAGCCAACTGTCGGCTCGACAATTCCTGGGGAAGAAGCTGCCAGTATTCTCCGGAATGTTGGAAGAGTGGCCGATATTCATAAGCGCATATGAAACATCAAATGAAGCTTGTGGATTTTCCGACGTCGAGAACTTGGCTCGACTTCAGGAGTGCTTGAAAGGCCAAGCACTAGAGTCAGTGTGCAGTAGGTTGCTTCTCCCTAAAGCAGTACCGCAGATCATCGAAACCCTAAAAATGCTTTATGGTAGACCGGAGCAACTTTTAAACATGCTGCTGTCGAAAGTTAGAAAGGCGCCTCCCCCGAAAGCAGATAAGCTGGCTACGTTCATCCAGTTTGGCGTTGTCGTTCAGCAACTGGCGGATCATTTAGAAGCTACCGATCTCACCACGCACCTGATGAATCCAATGCTGATGCAGGAATTGACGGAAAAGCTGCCCGCCAATACCCAGTTGGCGTGGGTTCGCTATCGCAGGAAGGCTGCCAGACATCGAGTAGTTACGCTCCGAACGTTGGCTGATTTTCTCTCGGGTATCGACTATTTCGGAAGCTTGTCGAAGATTCCGGAAGGAAAAAGGCAGAAAGGAGAACGAGGGATTTCTGCACACGCACGGTGCTGATGTAAACAGCGAAAGAAGCCAGTCATCGAGTTCGCAGCAGAGAGAGAAGAAACCCTGCAGGATATGCGGTCGTCTTGATCATCGGATCCGGAACTGTGAGACGTTTAGAAGACTTCGGATAACGGAAAGATGGGAGGCAGTTCGTAAGTGGCAGCTATGCTATCTGTGCCTGAACGAGCATGGAAATGCACGTTGCAAACTTAATTTTCGATGCAACGTGGGTCAGTGTAGTGAGCCACACAATCCTCTGCTGCATTTCGACCAGTCGCCAGCCGCCAATTCTAACTGTTACCTGCATAACATCCAGCGCAAACCATCGGTGATATTCCGGATGATTCCGGTAACACTCTACAACGGAAGCTCTGCCGTGGACACCATAGCTTTCCTGGACGAAGGTTCTTCGTATACGTTGGTCGAGAAGTCACTGGCAAACTTATTGCGAGCAAAGGGGGTCGTGCAACCACTCCGAGTGACGTGGACAGCAGGAGTGACCCGATTGGAGAAGGATTCGAGAAGGGTGGAGCTCTTTATTTCCGCACGAGGATCGTCACAACGTTTTCGTATCACGGCTGCCCACACGGTCGAGAGTCTGAAGCTACCGCAACAAACCGTAGCTATGTCAGAGGTGGTCAACGAACATCCCCACCTTCGAGGTTTACCTGTGTCCGATCTACGCAGAGGAGTTCCTCAAATCATCATCGGCCTGAAAGACATCCATCTATACGCGCCCATCGAATCCAGAATCGGTCGACCGGATGAACCGATCGCCGTCAAGTCGAAGCTGGGATGGACGATCTACGGATCTACCCATTCAAGCCACTCAGAAACGGGAATAGTTGGACATCCTAGCTGTGACATCGTATCCAACGAGGATTTGCACGACCTGTTACGGAGTCATTACGCCCTGGAAGAATCTATGATTTCCGTAGCGCTGCTTCCCGAATCCAGTGAAGACAAGAGAGCGAAAGAGATCCTGCACAGCACGACCATCAGAATTGGGAACCGTTTCGAGACGGGACTTTTGTGGAGAGAGGGCGACCCACGATTCCCTGACAGCTACCCGATGGCGGTCAAACGGTTCCGTTGTCTAGAGAGACGGTTGGTAAAAGATCGTAGCCTGTACGACAAGGTAAGGGGGCTAATATCCGATTATACTAAGAAGGGGTACATCCATGTAGCTTCAAAGTCTGAGCTAGCTGAGTTCCAACCGGATGAGGTGTGGTATTTGCCACTGAGTGTTGTAATACATCCGAAGAAGCCAGGGAAAGTCCGTTTAGTGTGGGACGCTGCGGCCGCAGTAAATGGGGTGTCGCTGAACTCGAAGCTTTTGAAAGGTCCAGACATGCTGACTCCACTCCCAAGCGTATTATCGAAGTTCCGTGAGCGAGAAGTGGGTTTTGGAGGTGACATCAGGGAGATGTATCTTCAAATGATGGTCCGTAAAGCTGATAAGCGGTCACGATTCGTCTTCCGAGGAAGTTCAGCGGAGGAATTCGAGGTCTACATCATAGGCGTGACGATGTTTGGTGCGACGAGCTCGCCATGCTCCGCCCAATTCGTTAAGAACCTTAACGCGAGATTTTTTTTTTCCTCTGTTCGGGACCTAACACTACTGCGACCAGTAAATTGATCTATTGTAGTCTTAACGCGAGATAGTATGCAGTGCAGTTTCCGGAAGCGGCAAAGGCGATCGTGGAGAACCATTATGTTGACGATTACTTCGACAGCACGGACACAGTAGAGCAGGCAGTTAAACGAGCGCAGGATGTGAGGTACGTACACTCGAAAGCCGGTTTCGAAATCCGGAACTGGGTGGCCAGCTCCAACGAAGTTCTCCAGAGCATGGGGGAACCAAAGGCTGCAAAATGTGTGCAGTTCACGGAAGATAAGAGAACGAGCCTAGAGCGAGTCTTGGGCATAGCTTGGTGTCCGAATGGCGACGAGTTCACGTTTTTAGCAAAGCTACGGGACGAGTTGATGCCGAGAACGAAGACCCACCAAACGAGTAATCATGAGCTGCGTCATGAGCTCGTTTGATCCACTTGGAATGCTAGCAACGTTCACCACTCACGGAAAAATGCTAATCCAGGATTTGTGGCGTAGTGGCAGCGATTGGGATCAACCGATCGACGACGATTGCTGTGATAAGTGGAATCGGTGGATCACTCGACTTCCAGAGGTTGAGAACGTGAAGATCCCACGCTACTACTTCCGAAGATGCAGTTCCGTCGATTATAACTCCCTCCAACTCCACGTTCTTGTCGATGCCAGTCAAGACGCGTACGGGTGCGGCTGCGTATTTTCGCGTTTTGACCGACGAAGGGCCGTTGTGTTCCCTGGTGATGGCGAGGTCGAAGGTCGCACCGTTGAAGATGCTTTCAATTCCACGTCTCGAGCTGCAGGCAGCAGTCGTAGGATCCAGGCTAATGAATTCCGTGATCGAGGCTCATTCGTTGGACGTGAAGAAAAGGTTCATCTGGTCCGATTCAAGGACGGTGATTTCGTGGATTCAGTCGGAGCAGCGCCGATACAAACCATTCGTAGCCTTTCGAATTGGTGAAATTCTGAGTCTCACGAAACACAGTGAGTGGCGGTGGATCTCTACGAAGAGCAATATTGCCGATGATCTAACGAAGTGGAAGAAGGGAAGCAGTTTGGATTCGAATGGTCCATGGTTCCAAGGCCCGCGATTCCTGTATCAGCCGGAAGAAGAATGGGCGCAGCAAGACAGCGTGGAGCCGAATACCACAGAAGAAGTCCGAGCATGTCATCTGATTCATGATGTCTCGATAGTGGAGTCCGTGGTAGATGCGACGCGTTTCTCGCGTTGGAAAGTTTTGGTCAGAACGGTAGCGTGCATGTACCGGTTCACGTCCAATTGCATCAGAAAACGGGAAGGCTTGGCGATTGAAACGGTGTCGGCACCAGCAAGGGTGCAACGATTGGTGAAGCGGTCTGTACAAGCGGTGGTGGTTCCACTGAAGCGAGAGGAGTTTCAACGTGCTGAAGTCTACCTGTGGCGTTCTGCGCAGTCGGAGTTTTACGGGGAAGAAATCAAGATCCTGTTAAAAAACCGAGAGCTTCCGTACACCGAATGGCATCCGTTGGAGAAAAACAGCAGTCTGTACGACCTCAGCCCATTCTTGGACGAGGAAGATGTGCTACGAATGGAGGGCAGAGCGGCTCAGGGTTCATTTCTTCCATTTGAACTCAGATTCCCCATCATCTTGCCCAGAAAGCATCAAATCACGACCAGATTGCTGGAGTACTATCATCAGCAAGCAGCTCATGCGAATTCGGAGACTGCTGTAAATGAAATTCGACAGCGTTTCCGGATTCCAAATCTCCGGACGGAATTGAAAACAGTGGCAAAGGCGTGCTTGTGGTGCAGAGTGAGAAAGTGTATTCCGAAAATCCCGAGAATGGCTCCACTTCCATTGGCGCGAGTTACTCCAGGTTTACAGCCCTTCAGCTTCACTGGCGTTGACTACTGTGGGCCAATCACTGTTACCGTTGGACGTCGATCGGAAAAGCGGTGGATTTGTCTCTTCACTTGCCTAGCAACGAGGGCAATCCATCTTGAGGTCGCTCATAGCTTGTCCACTCAGTCGTGCCTGATGGCCATCCGACGTTTCGTTTGCCGAAGAGGCAAGCCGATCGAGTTTTTCTCGGATAACGGCACAAACTTCCAGGGCGCCAGCAAGCAAATTATGCAGAAGATCGAAGGAAACTGCGAGGAAGAGTTGACGGATTCCAGGACCCGCTGGAACTTCAATCCTCCAAGTGCACCTCACATGGGCGGTATTTGGGAGCGGTTGGTTCGCTCGGTGAAAGCAGCGTTGGAGGTGCTCAACGACGGACGACGATTGACGGACGAGGTGTTGCTGACTGTGTTGGTGGAGGCTGAAGACCTGCTCAACTCTCGTCCCCTGATGTACTGTGGTCTCGCACCGAATGCGGGAGAAGCCCTCACGCCGAACCATTTTGTGAAGGGAATCGGGGCGACTGGTAAAGCGGAAGTGGTTCCCCAAACAAATTAAGCAGAAGTTTTGCGGGACAGCTTCAAACGGTCCCAAGCGTTGGCAGATCAGCTGTGGAAGAGATGGGTGTCGGAATATTTGCCCACGATCAACAAGCGATCGAAGTGGCATTCGGAGGCACAACCAGTTAGTCGTGGAGACCTGGTTTACATCGCAGACGAAGGAACGCGGAAGAGCTGGACACGGGGCATGGTGTTGGAAGTCTACCCTGGAGCAGATGGAAGGATTAGGCAGGCGTTGGTGAAGACGGTGAAAGGAGAGTACAGGCGCCCGGTAACGAAATTGGCGGTGCTGGAAATCCAGGATAGTAAATCTGGCTCCATGGAGGGACCCTCACCAGAATTACGGGGAGGGGGTATGTGCGCACCGCCGAGCACTGGTCACATACCTTGCGCCGTGCCGTACCTGTGGAGCGCAATGAACGTTGCGCCTAAACGTCAATGATGGAACGGGTGGAAACAAAGCGAATGAGAGTGTGAGAGAGTAACATAAATAAAAACAAACAGTGACTAGCAAATCGATTGTAAGCAGTGTAATTAAATTAATCAAATATTTGGAACAGTTTTTGAGTTCGTCGTTCGAGGGATAGTTTGATCCGTGGTGCAAATATTTGTCTTGCTAAATAAACATTCGGATGTAAGTAAAACAAATTCATCAATAGGAAATAAATAAACATTTAGGTTTATTTCGTAGTGGACCGTGGAAAGATTATACTGCGGTGAACGTAACCTGCAAAGATAGAAGTGAAATCAGGAAACAATAAATGTAAGGTGAATTTAATTATAAAAATGAACTAAAACTAATAACAATAAATTTAGTTTCAAGCTGCTGTAAGATACAACACTGCTGTGGAAATTTGTTTCGAAAATTGGTCCGAACCCAGTGCGAACAAGGAGATTTCACTATTTCTAAAACATGAACTTATTTCTTTTCAACTTGTTATCAGCTGTATAATTTTACAATTATTACAAACACAAAAACAAAAACCAAACACATAAAATACAAACTAAACACAAAGTTAATCAAACTTACAATGTAAGGTTAATATTCATCAGGAAAACATATATAAGTTTCATAAACTCCAGATCGCGTCTAGCCAAAACATCCCGAACTGGAACATTAGGTTGTCTACCTCGAGCCCGAAGGTAATCGTACAACTCGGACCTGACTCCACGATGCTCAGCACAAGACCAAACCTTGTCCACATTCACAGAGATTGCTGTCCCTCAGCCCAACACGGATCAAGTGAGCGTTTAACGAATAGGGGTTGGACATGAGGCGAGAAATCACACGAATGAAGTCTCGATCCACATCCAACCCTTTGAACCAAGGACTCTTCGACATCTAAGAGCAGGCTTCCAGTGCGCGCGCTACTGTATGCGAGACGCAATACGAATAGTTTCATAATTATTATAGCAGTCTCATGCGTAGGAGATTTGTAGCACTCTGTTTCTCTCTCTTCAGTTTTGTCGCATCTCACATTCTCTTAAAGTCTGTGTGTCGCACTGTTTTGTAAGCACAGCACATTTCCGGATGTATGCGTTTCATGAGAACGAGTATCATGCGACATCGCGTGAGGCGAAGCTCATGCGCTTTTCTCAATGAGACGTCGCTAAGCGACGTCTCAATACGACATCGAAATAACAAACTCAACTGGAAGATCAACTCGTGTTCTTGATGTGGGAAAAGTGTTGTTTTGTTTTGAAAACGATGGAAAGCGACCTAGCTACTACACTCTTATCGAACATGGAGAAGAGGTGTCAGATGTCTATAACCAACAAAGTTTTTCTAGCGGCAATTTTCGTTGACTAAAGGATTAACTTGAAAAATAGCCCATTCATAACGAACGAAGGAAGAGATGTGGCTTTGGTCAGCGAAATGTACAATCAAGTTGTGGTCCGAGGGCCCACGGTACTAAAACTAGGACTTTTTGGAAATCTGTTGTCGCAAATTGATTGTTTCAATTCAGCATCATGGGGGCTGATATGAACTATCCTGTGAGCGCTAACACATCTGAATAATTCAGTTGCTGCCGTAGTAAGTTTTGTTGATTTACAGGTATTCAATACAGTTCCTGAAGCAAGAAGCTTAGCAACAATCTGTAATACAGATATGACACAACTTTTTCCTAAATTTATTATATTAACCTTAATCCAGCATTTTGTACCAACGTACACTGCGGTGCAAAGTTGATCGGACAAAGGTCCTTTTCATACAAACTAGCCAAGTTTAACATGTTGTAAATGTATTCTGTTATGATTAATTGAGCTGAAATTTTGACGCAAAACTACAAATATGTTGAATTTCACGTGTAAGAAATACCAAATTTTTTGAAGCATCTGCTGGAAGGTGACAAAAAAATTAAAATTTGTGCATCGCTGATCGGACAAAGGTCAATGGATAAGCAAGTTTTTAGTCAAAATTTCAGCTCAATTGATCATAACAGAACAAAATTTACAGCATGTTAAGCTTGGTTAATTTTTAAGTGTAGATTTGTGTGTATGTCACCACCAACGTTTTTGCAGCAAAGTACACTTCTGCGTTGAAAATAATCCCTTAAAATATTGTTCACTCAAGCCAAACAAAATACAAATATTAATCTTCAGAGTTATATCATTGATAGCGTGTTGACCGAACTGTGACATTTTTTTTTTATTTCGAGAAAAACGAATTTAAAGTTGGCTGTTCAATATTGTATCTTATGTAATGGGACAAATCTTTCGACCGTTTTCTCTTGCTACTCTAATTTTTCAAATCTGGCTGAAAAAGTGAAATGTAGCTGAGGGAATTCTTGATCTTATGATATCATTAACTCATTTTTTGTTTTTATTTACATTCAAAATCGTCCATTTATTTTTTACTGGTCTGAGTAAAAGTATTCTGAGGGATTTTTTTAGCGCGGCAGTCTAATTTGGTGTAAATGCGCAATAACTTGTTTATTTTTCCACCAAATGGACTGAAAGCTTCAGAGGCTTAAAAAAAAAAATGTATTTTAGAAGATTTCCGCATAAGGACTTGTTGAAGGACAAATAGCTCCAGAGATATTCCGGAATTATTTGGGGTGCTAACATGCTAACGGTATCCCAACTACCGTAAGGTTGCCATCCACCGCTCACGTAGTCTTCCTTTACCTTCCTTTAGAATCCTTTCGACAAGCAATTGCATCTTCCTAGGAGCATGAATGGTAATCTTACGGTGTTTCCAGTATATCTCTGGAACCATGTGTTGAGCCTGCTTGAATCTTTACTAGAATATATTTCTGGAACCATCTAAAAACTTCACCCCATTTCAAAAGCCACATGTGAAAAGGGCACACAAGTCTTCTGTGCCTTCTCTCGTCACCCGACAACATCACATATGATGGGACCGCGAGAGTCAAGGCATGCGAAACAGCGCACGGCGATGGCGCCCTGAGAGAGCGCATTGAGATGTTTCAATGAAACAATCGCATGTGATTGAATGCATGCGTCGCATTGAGAGAGCAATGCGATGAGACAAAAAAAATTGAAACGCTAGAATTTGTTGAGAGCGTGTAGCTTGTCGCGCGCATCGTTCTGGTCTCTCTTTTGTACAATTAATGTAGCACACCATGGATTTGAGAGTCATGCGACGCTCCGTCTCACAGCTCGCTGTCGCATTTGTTTTTTTTTTGCTTTGGTTTGTTTTTTTCCGTCGATCTTGTTTTCCGTGCTGAGCACCAATGCTACCGACGTGCCAGGAAGGCAGCTCCCACACCTGGACCCTACCTATCGACCCATCAACTCATGAACCGGGGACCAACGGCTTTACTTCCCATCCGAAGGAAGGCGTGATCAGAGATGTTATGCCTCAGAACATCCCGGCGGCGCCGACTGGAATTGAACCCAGGCCTGCTGGGGTGAGAGGTAATCACGCTTACCACTGTCGCATTTGTGTACGCGTGAGATTTCCGGAAGCCTGTCTAAGAGATGATCAAATATAGCCATCGTCCCAAACTCCCTTCACTCCATTTATTCTGCCAGCTGGCGAGCGATTTTTGACGATAAATGAAGAAAAAATCATTGTAGACGATTTGACGCTCGTAAATATCGCCTTCCATAGCGCCTACCTTAGCAAGCGTGTCCGCCTTCACATTGCCCGGAATCGAGCACTTAGAAGCTCTCGTATTTTCATGAGAAAATACGAGGAGCGCTTTACCGGCCTCATGGAGCGAATAGCCTCGACAGAACTGAGACTATCCGTAAAAATAAAATAGTGATCTGGTGCAAGTGAAGCGATAGTTTCTAGCGTATAATGTATTGCCGCCAGTTTACCAACATATACGGAACAAAGAGCATGAAGCATTCGAGAGGCGCTATGAATTTTTTTATAAGTACCAAAACCAGCGGACGCCTCTATTAGTGATCCATCTGTGAAGAACGATCTTGCGGAATCAATTTGGCCAAACTTTGCAGTGTATAATGACGGAACAATCATGGAACGATGATGTTCTGGGATTCCGCGAATATCTTGCGTCATAGATAAATCAAAACTAACTGAATTTCCGAAGTCGGAGAAGCATACACGATTAAGATTATGCTGTGAAGGCTGACATCCTGTGTTATGTATACGTAGTACATAATCATGAAACGAGTTTGAGGGTTCAGCTCAAGAAGCTTCTCAAAGTTTGCAATCACCAGTGGGTTCATAACTTCACAACGGGTGAGAAGCCTGAGGGACAATTCCGAAAACCGATCCGAGAGTGGCAACATGCCCGCTAACACTTCGAGATACGAAGACAAAGATACTGGATACGTTCCAGTTAGATAATATGTGTTTAGCCGCCGACTGGAAGCAAAAACTACCGTACTCTAAAACCGATAAAATCGTTGTCCGGTACAACGTTAGAAGATCTTGCGGATGGGCACCCCACCACGTTCCGGTAATTGTTCGGAGAAAATTGATGCTTTGTTGGCATTTTCGTCTCAGATACTCAATGTGGGATCTCCAGCTGCATTTGGAATCGAACCAGACCCCAAAATATTTGAAAGAAATGGAATGAGTGATCGGCTTACCCAAAAGTTGAAGCCTCGGTTGTGCTGGGCAATGCTTCCTAGAAAAAACGACCAGCTCAGTTTTCTCCGAGGAGAATTCGATACCTCGCTGGACAGCCCAAGTAGACAAATTGTCTAAGGTATCCTGTAAGGGTCCTTGCAGGTCGACCCCTTTGGGTACTGTCATAGACACTTCGCCTCAACGTGCAGTTGTCACATAGACAATTGTCAATTTTCTGACGTAAAAATTGTAGAAAAGGGGACTTAAACATGAGCTCTGGGAGAGACCCATGTAACTAAATCGAGAAGCTGTAGAGTTTCCATGAGAAAAGCTCATATGTTTCTCTGACAGCAAATTGTCAAAAAGTTATTAATTAATGGAGAAAGACCACAGTCGTGGAGCTTGTCTGAAAGGAATTCAACCGATACTGA